CACACACACACACACACACACACACACACACACACACACGACTTCAGCTTTGTGGTTTTAACCTATTTTTAAAAGGGACACCACAACATTAAAAAATAATAATAAATAAAATGTGCTTTACACTGTTAGCTCGTGTATGCGATAACGGACAGAAACTAAAATGACCAGTGCCATTATTGTCATGCCCGCATCACTACAGTTAACAGAATCAAAGACACGTTTCGCCTCCCCACCCAAAAAATGGAGGTAAAGTTGAGCTAATGTAGGACAAGAAAAACAACACAGATATCTCTCTGAAACTAACACAAGGGAACACTGAGGTGTAAACAGAAAACGATGCAACCGGGTTGCCATTTAATTTCCACTGAATGTACCATCCCCCCACCTCCAGGTGGAAAAATATGACAACGGTGTGAGGAAGATGTGCGGCACAACCCCGCATCACTTGTGCTCAAAAGACACCGACATCACATAAAAAAATAATTAATTTTAAAAATTCGGGCGATCGGACATACTACGAGAAATATATAGCACAACACAAATCCCGATGAGGTGATTCACGGCAATGTCTTCAATTGACCACTGGAGGAAGATTAGCACTGATTACACATGCAAAGCCCGACTGTCACGGTGCAAACAGACGTTTAGAAAAGGCTGATTGCACGCACACATACAGATGCGAAAAGATAAAGATGCAAAGAAACGAGGCTTTCGTTAAGTGCACACTGATGTCGCTCTGTACCGGCCAGCTAGCGAGAGGAGGGCTGAACCCACACACACATACCTTTTCTACAACCAATTTCCATCACACAAGCGTCCGCCATTTTGTTAGCTTAACTGCTGGACGAATGCTAATTTTAACGTTTATTAGACTACTCCTCGGCGACGACAAGGTGTCAGACGAAACTGAGGCTGAATGGTGCGTTGCGTATCAGCTGTCAGCTATCGATAACAAATGCCGATGGTCAACTACGACAGACGAATATACAATCCCTTTTTTTCGGGTGGCTCGCTAGCTAACGGGATAGGCCTGATTTGCCAATTACGGCCTCTATTGAGGCCCCGGCCCAGAAAAGAAAAGGCCCAACCCTTTGCGGCCTCTCAGAAAAAATAAAGAAATAAATTAAAATACAACATGCATGTAAAAAAACAAAAGGCCACGGGCACGTACAAATGCAAACACAGCTCTGAAATCGGACGCCTTTGGCACAAAAACGAGCCGCGTACCAGATTCGTGCTGCAGGGATGCCTCTGTCCGCTCCTCGGCTTCCCAGGCCGCCTGGTTCCCCCAGACTCGGGCAGGATTCAGTCGGGAATTTTGTGTTATTTGGGCGGGCCGGAGACGAGAAGAGAAGGAGGGGTTAGGGGTTGATTCAGGAGCACCGCTGAAAGCAAAGCAGGACGTCTCGAGCCAGATCTTGTCATGCTACAGCCCCCCGCTCCTCCAGCTCCGAGGCCGCCGTCAGCACGACACGTCACAGCCCGAGAGCAGCAGGAAAATGCGGAAGGGTTGTGGTGGAAATCAGCCCGACAGGCACCAAACAGGCCATAATCTAAAGAACAACGCGGGTCGTGTGAAAGCGTGCGCTGCAGCGGTAACTCTAATTAGTTTATGCTCCATGGCTCGGTGTATCAGCAAATAATTTGACTGAGGACTACGTCAGTTCGCGCCAAACAACAGAGTGCATCACAATAAAAGGACAATTAAACTATGACCTCAAGATAGAGAGCATTGCTTCAACATTTAAACAAACCGACGACTGCCCTACTTTATGAATGAACCTATCGCTTCTGCAGTTTTGTTAAGCCTACAAGTATAGCTGTTTTTCCCCACATCTGCAGCACAACTGTACCTTCTTTTGAACTCCATTAAAAGTGATCTAAAAAGAAAATAAAACTAAAGTGCAGTTAAAAATTTCCAGAAATTAGACAGAAAATATCTGAAATGCATCCATCAGTTTTAAATATGTTGCCGTTTATCTACTGATAGGGTTTTTATTGCAGTTAATCAGTAATAGTAACAGCTTCTCCATACTTATCTTTATGCATACACACTTCTACACTTTCACTTTTGTTAAAATTACTCAGTATGTAAGGGGGCCTTTTGTTTTCTCTTATATTGTGACATTTCAGCATTTAATGAGTAAAATGATCCCAGAAACTCTTAATGCCGTATTATAATTCTAAGGTCTGATTGAATTACAATGTGCATATGATTTAAAAAAAAGCACTATAATATTAGTCAGCTTGGGAAAGGCAACATAGCAAAGAGGCACAGGATGATATGTAGGTTGTGATGGAAAATCCCAAACACACAAAATCTATATTTATTAATGTATTTATTAGCATGCTTGTTCAAGTCTCACAAACTTTCCAGCTGTGGTAGATTATTACCATGTAATTATCACGTTTCAGTGTTCATTCATCAAACTTCCGAGATCAGTGTAAATTTAGCAATGACCGCAAAAGTCCCAGACATGGTTTGTGATTAGAAGGGAACAGCTGATTGATAAATGCATTTATTGAGGCTGCTCCAAGTCACTGATCACATAGAGAAAGTTCACTGCTATCACCAGACATCAGTACAAGTTTAAGAGTGGCAAACTCTATTTGGCAGACATTTTCAGCAGATTTTTCTTTTCAATGGCAAAAAGACGCCACCCCTCCTCAGAGGACAGATCCGCTGCACCTCTTCTCTTGTAGAACTCAATAGACTTGGTGTTGTTTTCTGCTACTATAAAATGCATGGCACTACAGCGGGTCTTCACTGCCGTCTAGGAAAAAGGAGAAAAGAAAAGTGCACGCGTGAATGCAGCTGAAATAAAGGTGACTCTGTCAACAGAAAAATGTTGAAGTGTGCAATGTTAAAAGTACCTCGCTCAGCACCTTCAGGACTTTTGAACCGATGCCAAGACCTGGTGAAAGATTACGTGTTCATGGAGCAATTAAGAAAGTTCTTTGGCAAAGAGTACAAATTGTCCCGCAAAGTAGGAAAGAAGTCTTTCCTCTGTTAGTTATTAACCTTTAGCACTGCAATAAAACTTTTCATCAAACATACCACGAAACTCCTGCATGATGAAGAAATCTTCCAGGTACAGAAGCTTTCCAATCCATGGGTCATATGTAAAGTAGTACATAGCAAACCCAACCACAGTGTACCCTTGAAGAAAACACAGAGCAGGGGATTAAATAGTGGATCAGACCCGTGAACAACATTTATAGTTCCTGAGAAATATGAGAATATTTTTAAGAGGCGCATTTTTACCTACTGAGCTCTTCTCGTTTGGGACTTCAGCAACCAAACAGTGGTAGAATGGATGATCCCCAAAGCCATCTTCAAGCAGATCTGAAAAAAACAAAAAAAACCCATAACATTATTAAATCTTTAAGCTTTCTCAAACTCCAGATCAATGCAAACTTCATCGTGAAGCTAAATCACAGCACCTTTTTCTGTCAGCATCACCTTCTCCTCCATCTCTTCAAATTTAGCAAGCTCCTAAAAGGCAAGGTCATTTAGTCATATTTCTGTTAGTTAAGCATACTCCCAGTTAAAGGCTTGAAGTATTATCAGTTCACATATGGTTTACCTTTATGAGTCGCAGGATATCTGAGACATCCTTTGGTTCAGCTGTCCGTAATATAAAACTGGCCATTTTCTCTTTTTACCCCTTTTCCCTTTGCTCACTAATCCTCTGAATGTAAACAAAAGCAAAATTTGTTTCTTCATCCGCTCCTCAGGAGTCTACCCCCCGACAATGAAATGGGGAAACCAACATACACAGAACTGCATTGACTGTGTTGCAGAGTGGCAGAGCAGCTTCAGACGCTTCTCTTTTAAACATCCCAGAAAGAAAGGTGACCCATATATGGGCAAACAGCTCATTACATCCTGTTTCTTTTCCTTTTCTGCTCGTCCCTTATCTTTGTGTTGACTGGACGACATTTGAATGTTGTTTAAAAGGTTAATATTAACCAGACCTAAGAAAGAAAAAAAAGCCAAGCACATCTGTTATGCTGAGTAAAGAATAACCCACTTTTGAAAATGAGTGTAAAATATTTTACATACAAAATCAACCCATAACATTGAGCCGGTTGTTCTTCCCTTGCTAAAACTTACTGCTTCTTTGCATTCAGATGCTGTTATTTGCATTGTGGGAAAAGAAAAACAGTTTATATAACAGGTTATATAACCTGCTTTTAACAGCTTAAAAAAAGAGGGGTGTGGTTGAGGATGAACATTATCTATAGGTGATCAAGTTAGTAACCAGCAGCTGATAAACAAACTTCAGTTAACTTATTTTATGAAACATTTGAGTTTGTTTTACTCATTCGAGAGCAAATTTGACCCTTGAAATCACAGTGGCACTGATACTTTTGCATGCATTTGTTTCTCTTGCAAAGCCAAGCAAGCAGGGCCCTGCTGCAATAGTCCTTAAAAGCATTTTAAAAACAAGTGCATCTACAAAAAGACTGAATTTGAACTCAGGACTTTCTTGCTTTGAGGCAACAGTGTAGCCAACAGGCCATCATGCTGCCCAAAGGTCACAGTGAAGTTTGCATATTGCAGCTATAAACTAGAATGATTAAATGAGTTTTCAGCGTGCTAAGTAAATGCTGAAGGCATTACCTGCATTATTCACTGCACATGCTGGACAGCCTGGGGCTGTTTTTTTTAACAGCAAAATGTTTGTTCATCACATATTTACATTGTATCAAATTCAAAGCACAGACAGCAGAGAGGAAACGAGTAGTTTCATTTCTGTATCTCCAGAATCTGGGAGTCACTGGATATGTTCAAATGTTTCTAGTCCCTGTCAGTACTCTCACTGCAGAACATTTTGGATCAGCTGAAGGCTTTTCAGGGAGTTTTTAAGGACATCCTGATAGTAACGAATTACAATAGTCCAGCCTAGAAGTAATAAATGCATGAACTAGTTTTTCAACATCACTTTCAACATCGTCATGGTTTAAGAGACCAGACACACAGCAGTTTAGGAAAACACATTTTATTGGAAATTTTAAAGTGTAAGTGTTGGATTTCAGAGACTGGGAAAACAAATAGATCAATTCAGTTTATCGAAATACTTCAGCTTGCCTGAAGGATCAGGAATGATCTGTGGAAAAGAAATCATTAAATTAGTGTGCAGCACATTTCATGTAAGAAGACCTATATGACACATAATGTAGATTTCTGATAATAAACTAGTCATAGTGCAATTCCCACTTAACAATGGAAGAAATTAGCGAAAGGTGAATTCTTATCTTTGCAGTGTAATTGCTGGGTAATAATTTAAGGTCAACCATCGAGGCCAAACTGAACTGTTTTAACTAAATAAATAAATAATAAAACCTCTTTTGAAGGAATAACAACAAAAAAAAAAGTGGTGGGTCTGATTTGCAAAAACAATGACAATGTATCTCATAGTATACCTAATTGTCAATAATAAGGTCTATGTTACTCTAAATGGGACCATAATTTGCCAAATCAAATCATGATGCATTAAGAAGACTTGAAACTATAGACTGAGATCATCGTTCAAGTGAGCAGCAGGATCATTTTCTAATCCAGTCAGATGCTTTTTTGCAACTAGTGCTGCCCCCTGCTGGCCGCTAAACAGAAACAATGCAATTTTAAAGCACTTCCATCATGCTTTCACTTTTCAGACTCAGAAACGACATCCATCTTTGTATACAGTCTTCTTTATGGAAATCAGCCTGAGACAGCTCATCAGTTTTTACAAATACCTGCCTGTCTGATTTTTTTTTAATATGCTGGAAGACAATAGCAGTTAGTGCCTAAGGATCCATCTTAGTCACTGGCCCAGTGATACTTACTGTGTCACTGCCTGGTTTCCATCCTGCTGGACACACTGTGAAAACAATAACACAGAACTAGTCAGAATTTAAAGAAGAAACAGCTCAAAGACTCAGCTGACAGCCAGCTGTTTGTTTCTAGGTATTCTGCATAAACGAAAGACAGTCAGACATTTCAGCTGCTAATAATAAAATCCATCGTTTTACCTTCTCCATGTTTGTCTGTGTACTGGAAGGCCTGGACCAACCGCAAAGTTTCATCCACAGATCTTCCCACTGGAAGATCGTTCATAGTGATCTGCCTCAGGATACCTTTGCCATCGATGATGAATAGACCCCTGAGGAAGACATGGATGAGTTAGAATGGAGCATGAGTGGCTGCTCAATGCTTCCTGTTAATGTTTCCATGGGGGTAAATTATCTTAATGTCAGAAGCAGGACTCTGCCTCATATATGCCATTTGTGGTTCTAGAACTATTTAAGCCTTCCTGCATAAGGTGATTAAGGCACGTTGTATAACGAACTTTGAGTGCTCAGGTAAGGTTGAAAAGCACTATATAAGACCCAGTCCATCTATCATTTACACACTGATTGCAACCATTAGTTTTACAACTGCAAATAAAACCTTTAACTTACAGCAAGGAGCCATAACAATGCTACATAATAAGTAATATTTCTTTAAGCTGCTTAAGCTATAAAACTTTGATGATGGCTATAACTTCACCTCAGTGTGTGTCCTTGGTCCTCCAGGTAGACACCATAGTCTTTTGAAATCTGGTGAGTGAGGTCAGACAGCAGAGGGATTTTCATTTGTCCAAGTCCACCCTGCTTCCTGGGAGTATTGATCCTGTAAAAAACAGAAAGCAAAAAACATCAGTCTTCATTATCATAAAATGAATAAAAGTCTATCAAAAGTACATACAAAAGGTTAAAGTAGTAGAGCAAAATAATACAACATCATCTGTTTTTATTAGAGTTGATCTTCAGCCATTAAATTGTGATGGAAACAGCAATCTCACCAGGCCAAGTGTGTAAACTGGGAATCTACTGAGCAAGCGACCACCTCCGTGTTGATGGCTTGAAACTCGTGCAGACGATCACTGAATGCAATGATCTCAGTCGGACAGACAAATGTGCTGCAGAAAAAACAAAACAAATGCTTTCACTTGAGAACAACGCTGTGCAGCAATCCCAGCAGAATGTGCAAAGTGATAATGTAACGTGCATTCGATGGTACTTACAAGTCCAGGGGATAGAAGAAAAAAACGAGGTATTTGCCTTTGTAGTCCGACAGCTTCAGCTCCTTGAATTCACCGTTGATGACAGCTGTTCCTTCCCAGTGGGGTGCAGGCTTTGAAACTAAACCAGGACGAAAAACCAAGTTAAACGTTGGGACACAATATAACGTATTTCGTACTACAACTAGCAGTGCACTGTATTTAACCAGTGGAATAAGCCCCAAAAGGTTGATTCTGTTAATGTGGACATTTTTAGTGTTTTCAGTGGGAGAAACATTTAGTCACTTATCCAAGTGACTTCTTTAGTCTCAGCCGATAAAAGGTTTCCCCAACCTTTTAAAAAGTACATTTGCATCATGTCATAAATATGCAAATTGTGGAATAGGGGCAAAATTACGCTCTTTGCCCGGTAAAGTCTACAAACTCATGTTTCCATATGGAAGAGGAAAAACCTGCAGTAATGAAAATGACTCGGACATCTTCACAGTAAATCTCCCATACATAATCACATGAGTTTAGTGGTCCCCTTTTATTATTTTGAAAGTAGTGTTATTTATGTTATCAGGTCTGTATTAAAAAGTGTAGGTACTGCGCCACACACAGTCATGTGTCAGAGGGGCGGGGAGAGGTGCTCGTGCCAAGATTTTCAGAGTATGACGTGTCCTACAAAAACCATGAGAGTTCAGGTTAGGCTTAAACTTTAAATAAAGATATCACCTGGGGATTTTAACAATAACTGCAAAATTAAACCATAACATGGGTGCTCTGTGCAGCACCAGCCTGCTGCATCAACATGCACAAGCTGCTAGTCGTAGTTTGACAGGAAGGAGAAAGCAGCAAAAAAATAAATAAATTTAATCAGTGCACACTTTAAATATGCAAATGACATCCTAGCAGCACTCTCTGGATGAAAGCATGAGAGAAACTCACTCTTGGCTTTGCTGAGGTGGAGGGAATGGTCGGACACGGGCACACGGAAAGCCTCTCCGGGATAGACGTGTCCTCCCGCGTAACTTTGACACTGGGGGTTTTTCACCTGAGCGCTTTCCTCTGCAGACGTGACCGTGGCGAGGAGGAGCAGAGCGGTGCACAGAGCACAGAAAAGCTCCTTCATATCAGTGTGGAAAGCAGACTCCATTGTTACGTCCCTTTAACAGCACGTAGCCACTCACCAGCAACGCGCCTCAGACCTACTGCAGGATTGGAGCAGTCTTCCTTGTTCTTCTTCTTCGCTCAGGTTTTTCCAGTAGCTGACATCCTTGTTTTCACATTGCTGCCATCTTCTGGAATTAATTAGCCCATCAGGCGTACTGCGTGTATCACTGGCGTGCACACACAGTGCCAGTTTTCATCTAGAAAAAACGATAGTTCGAAATGTTTTGAATGGATTTTGATATATTTTTGTCGAGGTGTGGAGTGGGGTAATGTTAACAGTCCATTAAAGTTTGGCTTACATCCACCAATGTCTTCAAAATCAAGCTTTATTGGTCAAGAACTGATAAAGAGCCTTGTAACTTAGAGCAACCACATACAGATTTAAAATATGCCACATTTGACCTCTGACCTCTCCTTAAAGGTCAATAGATTGATCTGAAGGTCAAAGTAACAATAATGCTATTTATAGGATTGAAAGTGATGCTGCTTATTACTGTTTGTGTTGACAGCATACAGACATGTAAAGAATGATGTATTCTAAATACCACGTTACTTTGGACTTCTGACCTCTTCTTCAAGGTCAAACTTTTCTGGTCAACTATGCTTAAAATTCTGTGGCCTTTGTTTGTATTTTTAACATTTAGAAAACTGATGCATTTGAAACTTGACACTAAAACAATTTAGTTTCCTACATATGCTTGAATAGAATTGACTGTGTAATATTAACATATTAACATATTTATCTTTCAAGATTCTGTAGATTCAGAAGATCTTCCTGAAATATTTTCCCCACAACTTTATCAAAATTCAAATACCATTACACATGTTTGAGGTCCCTGACGGACCCTGACAAGAGCTTCTTTTCTCACGCAGCCTTCCTGAGCAGACAGCTGACAAATAGAATTACACAGAGAAGACTGAAAACTTTCATGGGTATCGATCACTTCTGGTTTAGTCGATACAAAATTTATCATAAAAAGCATAAAAACACTTTCGACGTCCAGTCCTCGGAAATTCAGCTTCGCTGTTTTCTACTTTATTTAGCCCAAATACACAGACTTCTTGAAGACTTTGGGCTTTGAAGGGCTTTGAAATGCGAAAGCCTCTAAATTCACATGTTGATCTGCATATGGAAAAATGTCGCCTTAAAAATCCATCAAGCTTTTCAAAAATCGACAGCACGCTGCAGTGCCTGTAGAAATACTCATGACTCCGAAATGAATGAAACTCCTCATTCGCCACTTTTATACAGACTGAATTATTGTTATGACAATTTTATCAATGAAAAAGAAAACCTACCGTGATTTTTGAGAAGTTACATCCTTTCTTTATTTTGATTCATAAACGGGGACTCGGTCGTTCACTAACACATGGCTTCAGACAAATATGTTGCTGTAAAGTTAAACAGGGAGCAGGTTTTTAAGCTGCTGACTTTTCTGGTGCAGTCAGCTGTCCAATGAGCCGCTGATAGTCACACTGTGGAGGAGCATGTTGTGAAGCCTGAACAAGATTCGTACTGGCATCAAAAGACATCAGGACCTTTAAATGTACGCAAAAAAAGCAATAATTTAAATAAATCAATACAAGTGTCTTACTGACTGGTGAAAGATTAAACAGTCAACAAATGTATCTAAAGGACAGAACAAGCTCTGGGCGTAAGAGCACAGCTTTATATTCAATACCAGGAGGTGTGAACTGTTTTCTGCTTTTCTAATTAAAAAGTAAAAATTAACTATTTCAAAAGCACCAAATTCTCCAAACAGAGATTGTTTTATTGTAATGTGAGCATGTGCGATGCTGTGACCAGCTCGTTACCTGACGCATGGCATCCTGCTGGCTGTACAGGTATAAAGATCCTATGGCAGCTTCTCTCACTGCACTGTGGTAATCTGTGCATGCAGTTCTTAGAAGTAAGCCGGGCACATTTTCCTCCAGCAACAAGGATATGGCTCCATCAACATTTAGCAGGTTTCCCAGGGTGGCGCAGAAGTGACGACGTGTGAGGGCATCAGGATCACTGCAAAAATAAATAAATATAAATAAAAATAAATCTGAACGTTAAATAAAATTTTACTCCCTGAGTCAATTTATAATGGATTGGATTTATATAGCGCTTTTCTAGGCACCCAAAGCACTTTACAATACCACTATTCATTCACTCTCACATTCATACACTGGTGGAGGCAAGCTACAGTTGTAGCCACAGCTGCCCTGGGGCAGACTGACAGAAGCGAGGCTGCCATTTACAGAGTATTATTACTATTGTTGGCGCAATATTAGAAATTCTATAGCACAAATTATTATAAATATATTATAAAGGTTTGGTCCCTGCATCTTTGGGTTAATTTTATCTGTCCAAAGAATAATTTTCATGAGCTGTGCTGGCTTTTTTAGAGTTTTTTTTTTTTTTTTTTTTTTGATAGTCCAATGTAGTCTAATCTACTTTAGCCCAAACAGAGGCCAGAGCTCAAGTTGTGCAGCAGAGGAGGCCAATGAGCTGAATGAGGTGTATTGACTGATGTCTGTGTGTTTAGCAGCTGCACACTGACTCCTGGTGAGGCAGGTTGGTAACATCTGTCTGTGCCAGTGGCTGCTGATGTGACTCCTTCAAAGCTGAATTAGAGGAAGCAGATGGCTGTATCTCAGCTGGCCTCATACAAAGGCTCCTGGACTGTTGAGCATTTCTGTAAAGATTCAGACACAGATGCCACAAAACAAACAAAAACACAAGAAGTCTTCTTTTTTGGGCAACACTTGTCCTATTTTCATCACATTTCACAAGAAAAAAAATACTGTGCTATAGGTGTGATGTCGGATTCTCTTCCCTTTTTTGCCCTAAAAACAAGCACATGAGGTCATACAGACTCTGCAGTGACTGTTTCATCATTCGTGGCTGTGACAGTTGTAGTTTACTTGGTGGACCAGTCTGTTTGCTCCTTGACTTAACGTCACCTTTAGTTACAACGTGATCAAAATATTTGGCCTGCTGAACTGAAACTAGTACCACAGAAGAACCACTATATACAACTGTGAGAAAGTAGTTGAGTAAAGTTGAATGAAACCATTCAAGGAGGCTGATTACAATAATTCACATAGACATCTGCACATAGAATCAGAATCAGAATCAGAATACTTTATTGATCCCAGGGGGAAATTATTTTTCATTACAGTGCTCCATTATAAACAAACATTAACAGAGACAGACAATACACTAACTAAGAATAGCACAATCTATACAGGCATATATGTACATAAAAGTCACTTATTAATAAATAACGGAAAAAGAACTTGTGGGTGTAGCTGTTGCAGTAAACAGTGTGTTAAGTGGATGTGTTGTACAGAGAGATGGCCACAGGCAGGAATGATTTCCTGTGTCGTTCAGTGGTGATTTTCGGTACTCTCAGTCTTTCACTGAACGAGCTCCTGTGACTGACCAGCATGTCATGGAGTGGGTGGGAGGTGTTATCCAACATTGTCTTTATCTTGGACAACATCCCCCTCTCCGACACCACCTTGAGGGAGTCCAGCTCCACCCCCACAACATTACTGGCCTTACGAATCAGTTTATCGAGTCTGTTGGCATCTGCGACCCTCAGCCTGCTCCCCCAGCATGCACTGGCCACAACAGACTCATGTTGAAGGACATCAGTCGCCTCAACAAATAGAGACGACTCTGGCCCTTCCTGTAAAGTGCTGTGGTGTTTTTAGCCCAGTCCAGTTTATTGTCAATGTGTATAGCGAGGTATTTATAGTCCTCCACAATGTCAGCATTGACCCCCTGGATTGAAACAGGGGTCAAGTGTTTCCTGGTCTTCCTGAAGTCCACGATCAATTCCTTGGTCTTTGACACGTTGAGCTGCAGATGATTCTGCTCACACCACGTGACAAAGGAGTCGACCACAGCCCGGTACATCTGAAGATGGCAGGTCTCTGTGCAGTGGCTGAAGTCTGTGGTGTAGAGGGTGAAGAGGAAGGGGGAGAGGACAGTCCCCTGTGGTGCTCCTATGTTGCTGATTACCTTGTCAGACACACACTGTGGGAGACGTACATATTGTGGTCTTCCTGTCAGGTAATCAACAATCCAGGACACCAGAGAAGCATCCACCTGCATCGCTAATACTTATCACCCAGGAGGTTCGGCCTGATGGTGTTGAAAGCACTGGAAAAGTCAAAAAACATGACCGTCACAGTGCTGGCTGGCTGGTCCAGATGGGTGTAGACACGACTGAGCAGGTAGATGAGCCTCGTCTCTGTTCCGAGACGAGGCTGATAAGCAAATTGAAGGGGATCCAGATGTGGTCTGACAATGGGTCACAGTTGGTCCAGGATGAGCCTTTCCAGGGTCTTCATGATGTGGGAGGTCAGTGCCACGGGCCTGTAATCCTGGGGGCCACTGGGACGATACCTGCAGGTCACTGAAAAAATGCAGGAGAGAAACCTACAGTTCTCCAACAGGATGCAGGTACTGGACCATGTTATCAGGAACCTTGAGCACATTACACTTAAAACATACAAAACACAGAACAGGCAGTGAGACAAGCTGCAATGCTATCATCTGGCTGGAAGAAGCGATCAGCAGGAGGAGAACGTGGATAAAAGCTCATTCATACATAGCCTCGCTTTGCTCTGAAGAGTCATTCATTTTAAATTATGATTCACTGAGAGTGATTAAGTTTACTGACCAGCAAAGATTCACACCACAGTTATACAAAGGGGAAATACAAGGAAGGTGACAGAAGATTGATATTGATCCTCTTTGATTGGGACTGACATCTTATATAATACGGAACTAACTAAGGACAAGTATTATGTGGGAACAAGGTATGACTTACCAGTCAAAACCAGTTAGTTTTAGAGTGATAAAGGGAGTGAAGTTTTGTACATTTATTTAACAGTAGCAGTAAAAAGTTACTCTGCAGATTCAGGTTTTACAGGTGTTCCTGTGATAAATTAATACAATCTCATGCACTGCTAGAGATTAAAGGCTTCTAAAGTTCAATTCATCTGCACCAACAGTATACTGTGTGAGGGAAATTACTGTTTACAGATTTATTCAGATGCTGCAGATATATTTTTAAAGTACATTTTCTGTTAATACAACTGCACTTTTTATTCAAATTCTAGATTCTTTCACACCACAGGTGTGAATGTGCGAGTGAATGTGAGTGCGAATGGTTGTTTGTCCCTGTGTGTTAGCCCTGCGACAGACTGGCGACCTGTCCAGGGTGTACCCCGCCTCTCGCCCTATGACAGCTGGGATAGGCTCCAGCGCCCCCTGCGACCCTGAAAAGGATAAGCGGAAGCGAATGGATGGATGGATTTTAGATTCTTGTGAGATAAAGCAGTAAATGAAGTAATTCACTTGATGTGAATTACTTCATTTACTGCTTTATCTCAGTGTGAACAACAGGAGTCGAAAATTGTTTTCACTACATATTGTACTACACTATAACCTGATATACAAACTTCCTGTACAGGTTTTCATGTCCCAAGGGACCAAGACGGCAACAACACTGCCACTCAGCAAACTCCCAGCACTGCTTCAGAGAAATCCAAAGGAAAGGCCCAACCATGGCTGCAATTGTCCAACAATGGCATCAAGGGCCTGATTGACCTCCTGATGAATAAAGTCATTTGTAGTCTGTGCAAGTTTCAGCAATAGCACTCAGCCTGTTCCTTCTACTTCCAGGTCCATTGTTTTCCGGAGCTGAATCTAATCTAATCAGTCATCAGGATGTGTGAGTGGTGCTTTGCCAGAGCTTGAAAACTTTTTAACCCCCGTCTTCTCTTTATTCTGTTTTTACACCACACAACACTGAACATGACTTGAGGAACAACACAAATAACACAGCCGCAGTGTACAGCACTTCTTATGTGCAGTATTTAATGTCTCCTTGCTGCGTTTCTTACCAGCTATCTGAAGACAGCAGACTTAAGCTAAGGGACAGGCGGGAGCTCAACCCTACCCTCTCTTGCAATATTTGGTATGCACTGACTGTCTGCTTTCGTGCCTGATAGTCAACCAGGTTAGTAAAACACATGTGATTTCTAATAATCCAAAGGATTGTAGATGATGTAGCTTATAAAAAAATGCTTTTTAAATGCTGTTTATACCGTTTATAAAATGCTTTTTAAAAAATCCCTTAAATCAAAGTTTCAGTACACAGCTTCTTCTACAGTTACTGAGGAAAACGACTTACTTTCTTTAGCGATGGCTATTGCATGGCAGAGCAACATCCCAGGCCGAGGTCCTTGTTGCTTAGCTTCGGGAATTCTTGGAGGTGTTGGGGCTAAAGGTTTTAAAGCAACAATACTTTTGGCAGCTACTACCTGTCCAAATGAGGTTACAATGCCAGGCTGGAAATACTCATTTTTTTTCCAAAATAGACACAAATTTATCTTTTCCTGTCAAGACTGTAACTGATGGTGATACACACAGTGCTTAACAAAATGTCAGACCACCTGTCATTAAAAAAATAAAAAAAGATTAATATTTTAGAAATCTGTCAAAAACATGGTTGAAACTACAAATGATTTCATTGATTAGACAAATAGGAAACTGAACTCACATCTTTGTGAGAAGTTAGAAATGAATCAATATTTATAAATTAGCATTAAAATATCATTTGGATTAAAGAGCTTGTGCACTCTGGTGGATTAACCATTACAGAAATACAAAAATGATTACCAATACACTTAATTTGTGGCAGTGTGGCATAAAAATTACACTGGATGGTGTCTAACAAATTCATCAATCACTGTATAGCACAGTTCAGCTCATTTAAGTTCAGTTCAGTATTATTACAACAGTAGCATGAAGGCACTTTGTAATTCTGTTATTTTGATTCTTTGATTCTGAATAAAAAATAATCTACAGTCTGTGAATAAAACAATAACATTAGAGACTTTGTACGTAAATTTTCCAGATACTTCCCAACATCCTGTTTAGACTCTTTGCTGAAGGTCAATTTATTAAACAAAAGAAGAGTATCAATGATATATACTCAGATAATGAATGAAATCAATCCTTCTGTTAATCAAATAAGAGAAGAATAGAGTAAACATATGTTGGTTTCATTCTCTGATGAAGATTGGGAGAAAGCACTCCATAAAAATTTGATTGGTAAATGGACTGATTCTTATATAGCGCTTTTCTACTCTCCCGGAGTACTCAAAGCGCTCTATACAACATGCCACATTCACCCAATCACACCCATTCTCACAAGCACTTTATCTGTACTTAGTGCTTTCTAACTACATTCACACACATTCATCCATCGGAGAGCAACTTGGGGTTAGTATCTTGCCCAAGGATACACAACTATGGGCAAGTCACTACCTCCATCCATCCTATGTGCAATTTATATGCTAATGGGAGTAACTGCGTATAATTTCTCACAATAGAACACAATGGTTGACTAAAATGGTTTAATGGGAGAGAAGATGCAAAATGTGTATTTGCATTTGCAGCTAAACCCAGTTACATTATTAAATTCTCTTGGACTGAGGTGTTAAACAGCTTCCACAATAACAATTATCTTTGGAAGGATGGTATTTTGGTTGGAGTTGCCCTTGGAGAATCAAGGCCACATTGGAGCTTTTTTGGTGGCAGATTTGCCCAACATCTTAGAAAATAATTTTAAGCCATTTTCGTTTTTGACCTGTGATTTTTGCAGGGTTCAATAGACTTTTTGTGCTTTATTGGCTGAGAAATTTTCCATGTTTGCAAAAAAGACAACTGACAGCAAATTTGACTGTTGACTTAATTACTTTATTGTATGCATTTCACACAGGATCCAATACCCTCCCTAAGTTGGCAGTGGCGAAGAGCCAAAACTTGTTTAACCATGGTGCATTGCATTACTGAAAAGTTACCTTGACCTCTTTACTCTGTTTACAGAATACACAAATAGCATTACAAAATCCCTTTATCAAAGCAACTTAATGTTTTCCACAGAGTGTTTTACATCATTCCCCACCTTGTAACAGATTCACTAAGACTTTTAGCTTTAGACATTGAAGCCAACAGTTCAATATGTTTCTGTAGAAAGTCCTAATCTCCCAGTACCCCTTGAAAGAGTTGCAGAGTTCTTTAAAAACTTGCATCAATAGTCTGCAAAGCAAGCCAGTAGGGATAGAAGCTTGTTGATGAGTCACTGACGTTACATCTGATCACACAAGTTACAAAGCCAGAGGCACAGCTGCATGAGCTTGCCACCCAATGTTAGGTTTTAAATTTTCACTTGATCATTTCATTTCTAGTTCACCCACATTTAGTTTAAGCCAAGCCTCTAAAAATGTTTGGAGACAAGCCACCAAATCTGAAAAAGACCTCAGGATCATGTGAACACAGACATCTGCTCAACTCGTGAGTCAAATTCAGCTTTCAGATCTACCAGACCCATTCATGTAGATTAACATTTTGAACAGTTACAATTTGCAGCATTTTTGAAGACAATTGAAATAAAGACACATGCAAATGTCTCAAGTTGACTTCTTTATCATGTACATTTAAGTATAAAGAGCACAAAGCCATGTTAAGGTCATACAGCCTGTGTTTGACACAGTGAACACTTACAGCACCTCAAAAATTACCAGATCAATTAGCAAATAATCCACTACATATTCACATGGAGTCAGATTTACAGAGATTTAAGGAATAAATATGCCTCAAGAAGTCTTAATAAAAGGATGTCTGCCAGAAACTGCGATTTTAACCACGAAACATTTCTGGCTAAAAATTAAATATGGTGAAGTGGATAAATGTAGGTATAAATTTTAGATTGGCAACACTGATAATGTTTTAACATTTCACTGTAGCAATTTCAAGACTTGAGGTAGAAAAGTGAATCTGATCTCCAATTCTTTTTGTGTCAGTTTAAACCAACACTTCTTTGTAAAAATGGCCCCAACTGTTTACTTAGCTCTAGAAGTCGATTACTTGCTGATGCTTAAAGCTCTGGTGATGAGGCACTCGTTTAAAGTACATGGCGTGTGCATTAAGGAAAGGGGTTGGGTGGGTTATGATTGTAAGAGGGAGGAGAATCAAGAACTTTAGCTAACAGACTTCAGCTTGGCCCATGGGTTTGTGCCGCGCACCTCCAAAGACGGCATGTCGCAGAAGATGTGATTGCACAAGTCTTCCAGTGGGGGCTCTGGGTCTGTGGTGGCAAACTGAGCTGCATCCTCGATTTCCTTTCTCACTTCTACATCAATTTCCTACAGATAAATAAGGACAGTTAGACACTGCAGCAAAGAACGTTTGGTCAAACCAATAGAAGCAGAGAATAGACATATTTTGTTTACCATCGTACTTCAAATGGAGAAGGCTACTAAAGCTCATAGAAGCATAACTCTAGCGCGGTAACTAGCTTGTGCCCCTCGTTCCATGGGACTATGTATTTTTCCCACCTGTTTATAAAGACTTTAGCATTGTTCTGTCTCAAATGCATTTTCCAGTCTATGAATGCAATTTTCCTCAAAGACAAGGGATGAAACCGAGAGGATCTCATCTTAAATTCAGCTGTAGAATTTTACACTATTGTTAAAGAGCAGGCACTTTCATTAACCTCACCTCTAAAGCATGCTGTTCACTTTCACTTGACAGACTAAAGCTAACCCAAATGTCAGTATGCTTAGTCAGAATGATCTTAAACTCACTTGGTTATTAAGTTGTTGCAGTATGACTGTCTTTTAATACCCAGTTACAAAAACAAGGACTCTTGTTTGAGGCTTCCAAATTGTCAGAAGTGTTGGCTCACAGAAATGTGATTTCTATATCTGAAGCATTTCTTACCTTGAGCTCCTCCACGCTAGCCATGTTGTTGCTGAGCATGCGGTCCTTCAGCAAGGAGATGGGGTCACTCTTACTGCGCACTTCCTGGATCTCCTCACGTGTGCGGTAGCTAAAAGGGGAGAGGGTGCAGGAAAGTTGGAGGGATGCACTACTATTGCTATCAAATGCACTTTGAGGATTTCAAATGTTTTGTAATATTACTTTTGACAAATTTAGGCTCATTTTGGAAAATCCAGTGCCTTCAAAATTTCTGTGATCATTTCTATGCAGATTCAAATGAAATTCAAATTACTTTGAGGTGTGAAGTCTATCAAATAAAGAAATCTGATAGAAGATACTGAATCTCAATTCATCCCTAGGCTGTTGTCAGGTCACTACAAAGGGGGTACATGGAGACTACTAAGGAGCAGAGGTAAGGGGCACAGGCACAGTGAAGAGAAAATCTGTAAGATTAAACTGTAGGTGAGAACTTTAGCCACTTTAAGTTGTATCAATTTAAATAATCAAGTAGCCTAACGTTTACCTAACGCCAGGATCGCTCATGCTGTGTCCATGATAGCGGTATGTCTGGAGTTCCATGAGAATAGGACCCTGAGCAAAGGACAAAGAAGTTACAGATCCGAGTCGCATTTCCTGCACACGTCAATATAACATTTTAAACGTACCTTCCCAGAGCGACAGTGATCAGCAGCGAACTTGGTTGCTTCCCGGACACAGAGAACATCCATTCCATCCACCTGTACACAAAGTTACTGAGTATTTTTCTTTAATCTTATCTTACAAAAAGTAATAAACTGACATGGTCAACATGCAGATTCTACAAGTTTATGGTAGCACCAAACACATTTGAAAGTGTTTACATTTCACGAACACATCACTCCAAATAGCATTTAGCACACTTCCATCTAGTGTGCATTGTGTTCGAGACAGTCAAGGTTAATCATTCATTTGTAATTTTGATTGAACAAACCCAAATTGAATAACTGTTCGATTACTAACAAATTGTGCAAGATATCAGCTTCTGTCAAGTGTCTGTTGCTCTGCAACAGCTTAACATGTAGCTTTACATGTAAGAAATGTGCTCAAGCATGCCAGACCCTTACCCTCAGACCAGGAATGAACTCTCCTCTCTTGAAGTAATCTGTGCTGGCTGCAGCTCGCTCCACTGAAGTGCCCATGCCATACCGGTTGTTCTCGCAGATAAAGATAACAGGCAGTTTCCAGAGAGCAGCCATGTTGTACGTTTCAAAAATCTGGCCCTGTGAAATATACACAAGACTTTAAAAGGGTGTCCTGTAATAGAAGCCCAGTTACATCAGTTTAGATTCTCCTTTGTACTAAGGCCATTTATTATCCTTTAACACTTCCCAGAATTTAGTTATGTTGTGCATTTAGCACAAGTTTGCTCAATTCCCACAGAACAAGATTAAACCTACTGCAAAGTAAAGTAAATACTGGCCAGGTGTAGATCCAAACGTGTTGCTCTTTAACCCATTTATGTAAAAAGAAAAAAGAAAAAAAAGCTACACATACCTGGTTGGCAGCACCATCACCATAGAGACAGACACACAGCTGGTTGTTGCCCTGAAACTTGCAGGCAAGTGCTACACCAGCACCCAAAGGAACCTAGAGAAGTCCAACATTGAGTAAACTTCAGTGTTAAAGTCTAAATGTACAAGTGTCAGTTCAAACCAATGGCCCTGTGAAATATCTTGTAATGCAATTAGATGATCGTAAACCATGGAAGGCAGAACGATAAGTAACAAATTTAAAGCAAAGCTGCCAAATGTTATACTTACCTGAGCACCAACAATTCCATTTCCACCATAGAAGTGTTTACAGTACATGTGCATAGAGCCTCCTTTGCCCTTTGCAATACCACCTCTTCTGCCTGTGCGTGAAAAAGATATTAGGTGATATTAACAAAAGCATTTACAGCTCAAAGTACATCATCAACTGAAATTTGTTCCTAGGTTCAGCCAGACTAAATAAGTTTCCTAGAACCGTAATCTCAGGGACTAGAAAACCAAGCTGAAGCAGGGCCAGCAACAAATGTGTCCCGCCTTCAGTCAATTAGGGAGACATTTCTAGTTTCATCATTTTATAACTTCAATAGTCTATGTCCTGGGCTCAACAGCTTCCCTTTTGGGAAAATAAAGATTCAAAACCTGCCAAGTTACTCCAGCACCAACTGAACATTTGCCGCTTTTCACAGGGGAGTCAATTCAAAATGAGTCCCATTGTGTACTGATATTTAATGT